AAGTCGACCCTTAATCCCATTAACATATTAAGTATTCTAGGCATTCTTCTCTAGTATTTTTAAATGTGACAGATGCAGCTAAATACCAGAGCGTGCAATTGAAGGCGAATTGGATTGATTGCAGCATCAAAATTCCGGTTTGAACCCCCGGACCAAAATTAATCGAGGGGGAAATTTGTTAAATTGGCAACCATTTTTCATTCTACCCTCTACCTAACTAACAGCCACAGACATTTATTGCACATAACGCGCCATGATTTTGGGCCATAAAAACTGCATCGATTTTTAAACTACCGTTCAAAGTTTCCTGGACCTTGACATATACAACTGTTTTTACAATTCAGAGTTCAACTCTAGCGCCAGTTAATCTGGAAAAAGGCGGGAAAGCGTTTAAAAAGGGGACAATAGTTGCCACTTTTGCCGATTGGAAACTTTTAGCATTTCGGTCTTTGGGGAAAAGAAGGACAATACTTTTGGGCTGATTAGTTGAACAAGTTGAACAAGCGTGGGAGATACGTGAAAGAATCTACATGTGTTATAGTTCCTCGGTAGGCGCGGGTTAGGCAGGGGGTAAATTGAAGGGTAAAGTGACATTTTGACAACAAAAGGTTGAAGGCAGCGGCTGACAATTGAACAAAAAATTAGATCAATTCTGATTTCATTCTATTGCTACCAAGTAAAACCAAGCGAGGTGAATTGACGTCTAAAAATTTGGAGTCTATTCAGGGCCTAAAATTCCTCCAGAGAGTTAAAATCACATAAAACAGGCAATTTAAAACAAGGAGAACCAGTTGCTGAGCAAGTGGCATTGAATGGTCCAACAAAAAATCTAAGAAAGTCTTAAAATAGAAAAAAAAAATTGAAACTTTTGAAGAATCCTTCCAGGTGGTCCAAATCGGGAAGCCAAAAAACACACCCACGCCATAGTTCCTTCCCACTACCTCAATAATTGTCATTTAACAACACGATTTAAAAAAGCAAGGCCATTTTCTTGCCCAGTGGTGAAGTCAGGGCGGGATTCGACAACTGCAATACCCAAAGGCTCGGTACTATTTTACAGCATCCATTTTTGACCGAAATACCCAACAAAAAATTTCTAAGGGCTCATTGATTGCCAATTTCTGCGAAAATTAGGGCGAAAGAGAAAGTGAATTAAAATGGATTTCAGTGTTTTTTTCACGTTTCTAGCATATTTTCTAAAACATTGTTAAAAGATTTTTTCTGCTTCAAAAAGCCCCAAAAACCAATCTGTTCAACCAAAAGAATTTAAAATTTTTCTCAGTTTTTTAACAATTGTTGGGAATCCTATCTCACTGTTGCAAAGAAAACATATAAAAACAAACTTATTTCCCAAAGTAAGAATTAATCACTCAAATTATGTACGAATTAGTGTGAGTAACAAAATAATCGCTGAAAACCAGACGCGGATTTTCTCAAACTTCGAAAACCTTGAGAACATTTTTAGTCAACCAAATCGAATTTCCGAGCTCTTAAATTTTCCGCGTCTATGGCGAATTTTTTTTAAAAGCCATTGGCGCAAAAAAGAGTCAATTGGCGCGACAGACACTCTTAGGAATTTTAGGAATGGAATAAAAAATGAATATCGTACCCTTTGATTTGTCAGGGGATACTTTGATACTCCCCCATCTGGCCCAAAAAATCAACAACTGCTGAAAAATCTTCTTCGCATTCTTCTTCATATCCGCTTTCCGCTATCTATGGTAGTGTTTAATTAAAATTTTTTAAACAACACTTTGTGGACGCTCAGAATTTAAAATTTTTTTTGACTCGATTAAGGTTTGAATGATGAATCTCACGACTCATACCGTTTTCAATTAAGGTTCCGGATTTTGCTTAAAAAAATTTCATATGGCAAAGAATAAATTAAAACAGGACTGCTTGCGTAAAAGCGAAGACCTGAATGTTTCGGCTTCCTTTTAAGGTTTATAGAGTAATGTTCTTTTTCAGAAAAACTTGATAAAATTTTCAAAAAAAAAGAATTTTAGAGTGATATTTACAAAGAGATAGTTTTCGCTTTAGGCAAATTAGTATTAAATAGACCAATCAACAACCCTCAATGCAATTTAGAATATTTTCTAAATCAAATTGAATCTCAGCTTACGCGTTCGTTGATAGCACGAAATATATCGCGCGTTACTTATCTCAAACTGTCCAATAAATTTTTTAACCTTGCAATAAACAAGGGTTTTGTAATCGGTACTAGAGTTTTTTCCAATAAACAACTTCACAGGACAACTTCACAGATGTTCACAGGACTCATCTGGACTTTTTCCCTGGAAGCCTCTATTAGAAACAAAATTACCGCTACAGATACAATTTGTGCATTTTAGCATTTTGAATACCTGTCCTATTCAAAATCTGCTGTTTATATTGTTACTTTACTAACTCAATGTGTTAACATTTCATTTTTTTTTTTCGTAATTTTTTTTTCTTTTTTGGCTTGATAGGTTTCGGCTTTTATTATACCGGCTTAGTGGCCTCATTTTGGGTCGTTCAACAAGCGATCAAAACTTTTTTGTGCGTTTATGGTTTGCGGGTGTAGGGTATGAAATAATTTCAGGAATTAGATTCCAGACGGGACCTGTAATTTTGCAAACTGAAAATTTTCGGCTAATTTAGGTTGTCTCTCTTCATATTTTTGTCGGTGTAATTCCCTCAGAGAAGACTTTTTGTAATTTTGGCTTTTTTCCAGAACTCCGAATGCTATTTGTGTTGGCCTATATTGCCATTAAATGTTTTTTGACAAACAATTTTGAAGGTTTTTTTTTTAGTTTTTGGATTTTCTTTTTTTTTTTCCAATTTTTAATCAATCATTTTTGGTGTTGCAATTAACGCAAAGCTCAGGTTAGCCTCTGTGGTCGAGATAAGATCGAGTCGAGATTAGATCGAGTCGAGTCGAGCATCATATTACAGCGAACGTTGTTGCGATTCGAGTTAAAATTCAAAACATAGCAAACTGACAGTTGGAAGAGAGTAATCAACGCAAAGAAATCGAACAAAAAACACAATTTTCGATTTTTTAACAAAAAAAGTACATTGCCTTTAGGCTCTTTGGCTCTTTCAATTTCGAGAACAATTTATGATTGACTCTTTTTTGATCAAATTAACCCAATTTAAGTAAACTGTATGAATAGATAAATTTTTCATTCCGCTGTGAAATCTGAAAATAGAATTTCATTATCAAAACTAGAGGTCGAGCAAATTTTTTGTGCCTGTACACTTGTATACTAGAATCTGCTTTCCTTTTAACAATGTGAATGCACTGAACTTAAATAGAAATCAAAAGTCAAACCGCGAAAAATTAAAATTGAGCTCGAAAAAATTTCAAGAGTTATTCCTAAAAAAACAAACAAAAACTACATTCCTTACTCTACTTCAAAACCGCAACTTATTTACCTTAAAGTATTGCAACCCTAGTACGCTTCATAAATGCCAACAAGAAATGCTGAAGGCTTGAATGAGTTTGAGTATGATGTCACAATTTGTGTCTAATCCGCTAATTTACCTTTTTAACCCTGTCAATTGGAAAGGAGGAGGGAGTGGGATTAGAAGCCGGAATTAGAAGGACGATTTCCTAATGAGAAATGGCAGGAGAACTAGATTCGGAAAAACTGATTTTGCAAACTCATTTCCGTAGCGAAGAAGTTTTTGACCTCTGACTTTCACAAACTGTTATTCATTTTAGCAATCACAATGGCTGGCAAACTGTCTTAAGGCTGTTAAATCTTCATTGTGCTTAATCAAAACAAAACATTGAAACTATTTTAGAAACAAAAAAATGTTATATCAATTTTTCCATCATGTTGATAAGACTTGTGAAATAATGAGGTCTATCAAAAATGCTATGGAAATCTAACTTTTTAAAATTACAATTTTGTAATCTAATTCTTGTAAACAGTTTACTTCGAACCCAATTCGACCAGCCAAAATTTGCTTTTTCTTCGTAATGTTTATTTTATCATAAACACAAATACTACCCCCTTCCCGCGCATAAATATAGTTTAGTCTATGTCCAGTCGTTGTTGCTCATTCATTCACGCGCGTAGGGGACTGGCGAGATTGCTTTGCTACTCTTTACTAATCAGCGGCTGTCAGCGGATTGAGGGGAGAGTATTAGCGACTGAGAAGCAGAGTGCTGACAGCTGATTAGCCCATTGAGACTAAACTCAATTAGCCCTTCTGACAGACCCATTAGACAGCCACCCCCTCGGTCACTACCTAACCCCCCCCTCCCCGCCACCCCAGTGAACCAAGAAAAGAAATTAACTGACCACACACCCCCCTTCGATATATCCCATCAACAAGTCATCAATTCAAAATGCCCAGCATTGTTTATTAGATTTGACTACTCTTCGCCTTAATCGTTAACATGAACTTGACCTTAATTTTTTTACCGTTGATCAAATGAATTGAATTTTTTAATAGAGTTTTAAAAATACCACCAGTGTCTCTATTTTTTTGAGGAAAAAATTAATTTGTTTTGAGAAAACAAAAAAAGACAAGCGTGCTACGCAGAATGAAGATACATCAAACAAAACAAAACAATGATGAAATGCGTGGGAGTTTGTCTAATTAATTGATTATCCATGGCCAAACTGAAGACGACGAGGTCTGAATGTCAAAGATTGAAGAAAATTTAAAAATAGAAACAAAAATGAGAATTAACAGCGCCGTAACTACGAAAATAGTTGTGATAAATTGTGCAATTGGTGAATTTTCGAGAACTCGCGCAAAACTGCGAACTATACTATGTAACTGAATCCACAGAAAACTTGGTTTTTAATTTGGCTTTTTGAACCTGTTCAATTCTCTAAGTAATTTGCTCTTAACTAATTCAAACTAACAAACTAATTTGTTTTTTTTGTGACTATTTGTAAGCTGCATTTTATTGATTTCAATATGATCTCAATAGTTAGTGAGAAATGTGTACTGAAAAAATAAGAAATTTGGAAATGTTCGGTTAAATGAGCTTGACTCACCTCTGTCGGCTAAGTTGTACTCGAATGAGTCCCGCCACTCGGTTGTGCCGAATTTGAGCAGGTAGTAGATCCTCTTCTCATTGATGTCAGCTAAAATGAAAGCAAAATGATGAAAAAAGATGCCTTCGGATTCTGAAGATATGCGACGAAAATTTTGATGGTTATGGGCTCAGGTAAAACTTGAACTACAAATACAAATGGAAATCGCCGCTAACTTTGAATAGATCAATAGCATATGGTCTTTGATATAAATATACATTATTCAACAAAAATTTTTATTAAAAAAAGTTGAAATTGTCTACAAATAAAACATTTCTTTTCTTGACAATTTTCCAAATATATTCAGACCACATTTTTTACCGGTTATGTTTGAGAGAATCTCTAAAATTTAGATAATTCACGCAAAATCAGCTACCACAAATAATCAACGGAGGGTTTTCAGTGATAAATCATAAAAACCCTTTCATTCATGATTCAAGTGAAATTTTTAAAAAATATATAAAACTTTTCCCAGTGTCGAGAAAAAACAGTTTGAAATTTTAAATTTTTCGTCTAAATTAGAGCTTTTATTTATGCTTTTTCTTTTCTTTATGCATAATTTAGGCTGTTCAAAATAGCTTAATTGTGCCTAATTTTAATTTCATTCGAATGAAACTAGTTTTTGGAGATTTTTGATGCCATCTGCGGGAAAAAAATTGAAAATTTCATTTTTTTAATTGTTTTCGATTTTTTGTTTGTTTTTCTAGTCATTTTTCTTCAAAAATGGTTGTTCTGTTTGCCTAAATTTTTGTGATTGTCGAATATGCCTAAAGTATAGTTTTACGTCAGATCCTTTTATCAGACCACGTAGAAAAAGTTATACTAATTTGAAAAAACAAATTGTAGATTTTTAAAGACTATGGTTGGAACATTCTATACTACTTGCACAGTAACCGGATATCCTTCTAATCAAAATGAACTTTTCTTTTAAATGTTTCTCTGCTCAGTTTTTCATTGAATTAAACTGAGTGTAAAATAATGTTTATTGTTTGTGCTGTAAAACCAAATCGGTATCACCGTACTATTTCGGAAACTTTTGAATGGTTGACCGGGATTTGTCAGGAATTTTTCTCAGTGTTCGTCTTGAATATTCCATTTTCAACACTGGTCGACCGAAAAAGAATTTCGCAAAATTATCTTTATGAAGGAATCTAGCCAGACGGTGGTCGAGCTAACACAAAATTTTGCCCGACACTATTCAATCTAATTACGTTTCAGATCAGCAAGCTTTATCAAATCAAAATATGGATTTTTTTTAAGGTATAATGATTTATTTAACAAAATCATTTGTATCGTATAATAACTTGATTTAAACCAAATTCAAATTTTTCGCCTCTGGAAACAGACAAAAGGACAAAAAAGTTTTAGAAATTCAGAACTTTGGAGCTCAAAGTTTTTCATGAAAAGAATATCATTTTCTGCTCAAAAACACTTAACCAATTTTATCATCTTACCTGCGGTTCGATAAATTTTTCTTCTGTTTTTTTTTCATGCCGGTGATTGTATTTCATGCCGGTGAGAAGAATCTAGCCCGACGGTGGTCGAGCTAACACAAAATTTTGCCCGACACTATTCAATCTAATTACGTTTCAGATCAGCAAGCTTTATCAAATCAAAATATGGATTTTTTTAAGGTATAATGATTTATTTAACAAAATCATTTGTATCGTATAATAACTTGATTTAAACCAAATTCAAATTTTTCGCCTCTGGAAACAGACAAAAGGACAAAAAAGTTTTAGAAATTCAGAACTTTGGAGCTCAAAGTTTTTCATGAAAAGAATATCATTTTCTGCTCAAAAACACTTAACCAAATTTATCATCTTATCTGCTGTTCGATACATTTTTCTTCTGTTTTTTTTTCATGCCGGTGATTGTATTTCATGCCGGTGAGAAGAATCTAGCCCGACGGTGGTCGAGCTAACACAAAATTTTGCCCGACACTATTCAATCTAATTACGTTTCAGATCAGCAAGCTTTATCAAATCAAAATATGGATTTTTTTAAGGTATACTGATTTATTTAACAAAATCATTTGTATCGTATAATAACTTGATTTAAACCAAATTCAAATTTTTTGCCTCTGGAAACAGACAAAATGACAAAAAATTTTTAGAAATTCAGAACTTTGGAGCTCAAAGTTTTTCATGAAAAGAATATCATTTTCTGCTCAAAAACACTTAACCAAATTTATCATCTTACCTGCGGTTCGATAAATTTTTCTTCTGTTTTTTTTCATGCCGGTGATTGTATTTCATGCCGGTGAGAAGAATCTAGCCCGACGGTGGTCGAGCTAACACAAAATTTTGGCCGACACTATTCAATCTAATTACGTTTCAGATCAGCAAGCTTTATCAAATCAAAATATGGATTTTTTTAAGGTATACTGATTTATTTAACAAAATCATTTGTATCGTATAATAACTTGATTTAAACCAAATTCAAATTTTTTGCCTCTGGAAACAGACAAAAGGACAAAAAAATTTTAGAAATTCAGAACTTTGGAGCTCAAAGTTTTTCATGAAAAGAATATCATTTTCTGCTCAAAAACTCTTAACCAAATTTATCATCTTACCTGCGGTTCGATAAATTTTTCTTCTGTTTTTTTTCATGCCGGTGATTGTATTTCATGCCGGTGAGAAGAATCTAGCCCGACGGTGGTCGAGCTAACACAAAATTTTGCCCGACACTATTCAATCTAATTACGTTTCAGATCAGCAAGCTTTATCAAATCAAAATATGGATTTTTTTAAGGTATACTGATTTATTTAACAAAATCATTTGTATCGTATAATAACTTGATTTAAACGAAATTCAAATTTTTTGCCTCTGGAAACAGACAAAAGGACAAAAAAATTTTAGAAATTCAGAACTTTGGAGCTCAAAGTTTTTCATGAAAAGAATATCATTTTCTGCTCAAAAACACTTAACCAAATTTATCATCTTACCTGCGGTTCGATAAATTTTTCTTCTGTTTTTTTTCATGCCGGTGATTGTATTTCATGCCGGTGAGAAGAATCTAGCCCGACGGTGGTCGAGCTAACACAAAATTTTGCCCGACACTACTCAATCTAATTACGTTTCAGATCAGCAAGCTTTATCAAATCAAAATATGGATTTTTTTAAGGTATACTGATTTATTTAACAAAATCATTTGTATCGTATAATAACTTGATTTAAACCAAATTCAAATTTTTTGCCTCTGGAAACAGACAAAAGGACAAAAAAATTTTAGAAATTCAGAACTTTGGAGCTCAAAGTTTTTCATGAAAAGAATATCATTTTTTGCTCAAAAACACTTAACCAAATTTATCATCTTATCTGCTGTTCGATACATTTTTCTTCTGTTTTTTTTTCATGCCGGTGATTGTATTTCATGCCGGTGAGAAGAACCTAGCCCGACGGTGGTCGAACTAACACAAAATTTTGCCCGACACTATTCAATCTAATTACGTTTCAGATCAGCAAGCTTTATCAAATCAAAATATGGATTTTTTTAAGGTATAATGATTTATTTAACAAAATCATTTGTATCGTATAATAACTTGATTTAAACCAAATTCAAATTTTTTGCCTCTGGAAACAGACAAAAGGACAAAAAAGTTTTAGAAATTCAGAACTTTGGAGCTCAAAGTTTTTCATGAAAAGAATATCATTTTCTGCTCAAAAACACTTAACCAAATTTATCATCTTACCTGCGGTTCGATAAATTTTTCTTGGTTTTTTTTTCATGCCGGTGATTGTATTTCATGCCGGTGAGAAGAATCTAGCCCGACGGTGGTCGAGCTAACACAAAATTTTGCCCGAAACTATTCAATCTAATTACGTTTCAGATCAGCAAGCTTTATCAAATCAAAATATGGATTTTTTTAAGGTATAATGATTTATTTAACAAAATAATTTGTATCGTATAATAACTTGATTTAAACCAAATTCAAATTTTTCGCCTCTGGAAACAGACAAAAGGACAAAAAAGTTTTAGAAACTCAGAACTTTGGAGCTCAAAGTTTTTCATGAAAAGAATATCATTTTCTGCTCAAAAACACTTAACCAAATTTTTCATCTTACCTGCGGTTCGATAAATTTTTCTTCTATTTTTTTCATGCCGGTGATTGTATTTCAGTGCGTGTCTTCCTCTAATTGGAAATCACTTGAGAAAAAATTGTGAAATTTTTGTGTATGTGGTTTTTCTACATTTCTTCATTTTTTCGAATTAAGTTTTTCGTTTGACTTTTTGGCTGCTAGCCTGCAATGCATGTTTGACTGGCATTGCAGGTAGTGCGAAGCTCTGCTTCGCCTCTGCGTTTCAATATGACTTCAATGCTGCCTGGTTGATACTTGATGCGTGTTTGCCAGTTCAGAGACACGAAATGTTTGTGAAAATAATTGGTTGTTATCGATGCGAAACGCTGCCCCAGTGCGTATTGTACCCACTGCCAGGCCACTGGGCAATAATTTTCACAATGAGACGGAGTCTCAGTTCGGTAATTCATCTTTGTTTTGGAATATTTGTTTTATAATTTCGGTTTGTATTTCATCCGGATGCAGTGCCGCTTGTTTACTAATTTTCTTAGTATTCTGGCTAGCATAAAAAATATTCTATTAATTTTTTTAAACCAAACATATTTTTGTAAAAACCATAAAGAACTCATAGTTTCTAGGGTTTCACTCATAGTTTCTAAATTGATTCAAATTGCGCCAATTGATTTATGATGAGTCAGTGGCTATCAAGTACTGCAGCTGTTTTGATAACGACCTATTTTTGTTCCTAATTTAGAAGATTATTAACGTAAGTTCCTGCAAATTTTTTTTCAGAGAAAGTTTGACCATTTAATTAATAGTTATTGACGGAAATTTTAAATACTATTTGAAAAACTGTCTTATGAGCTCAAAATCTAGAAAATTGTTTTTTTTTGACAATTGCAAATTGCCTATTTAGAATACATCTTTCGCGCAAAACTTCGTAAGTGCTAATAACGCGTACAGGAGGCGGCAAAAGTAACTGGGCAAAAAACCATTAAAAATCGCACTGACGCAAATTAATTATTTGA